GGCGGTTGCTATTATTATGAATTTCATCTCCAAAAGGGGATTTTCTAGACTGTAAGAATCAGGCAGTCAAAAGCTGACTGTTTCTTCTCTTGGTTTCCTGCCCTTTAGACCAGGAAGAGCACTCAAAGTGGAACAGTTCACATAAGAGAAAAAACCAGTTGGTCACACAAAATGAGCGTGTCTGTGCCTTATGACGTTAGTACTTCACAGGACTGGCTGGAAGATTATATGTGATAACTCATGTCTAGTGCTTAGTGTAATATTTAACACAGCAGCCCGTACTGATAGGCAGGGGCAGGGGCAGGAGAAGAGGGAGCATGATGGAGCAAGAGCAACCTTTTCTCCTCCAGAGGGACTGTCATTGGGCATCTTTGTTGGAACTACCTTTTTATTATTTCTAATCTGGCCAAATGGAGCACCAGCAGCCTCCAAAAGAGAGCTAATGATAGAGGTTTATGTCCACTTTGTGTATACATAATCAGGTGATTCCATAACTCAAAATTACATTCACCAGACAAAAGACAACCATATGTTTATTCCTTTAATACATTTTATTCTTTTATTTTCTGCTTGTTATTTTTGACAGTATTCAGATTGAAATGATCTTTCCTCTCAGACACTTGGTTAGCCTTTTCTTAGGAAAAGTGTTGAGCATTCGGAATATTAGATAAGCTAGCACAAGAAAGCCTTACTTCACAGGCTGGGCTGTTCTTGTACTTCTTGTATTTCCTCCTTCCATCAGAATTAGTATTAAGGAAAGTAGTTTGGATTTCTACCTCATGTCTAAACCGAATGGGAAACAAAAGCAGGTGTCATTGCATGCTGTGGAGAACTCTGACTGTGGAGCGGCATCATACTTGGTGGTCAGCATGATAATGAGAGTGGTAATTGGAGACAGTTCTGCAAGGGATGAAATTCTTTGGAAAGATAATTTAGATCGTTGATCTACTGACCTTCATCACATGGAAATTGTCTTTCTAATGGTAAAATCTTGTGTTTTTTAACAAAAAGATGACAATTTACTGTTTCATTGTATTACTTAAATATGGGCATTTTTGTATTACTGAAGGGAACCTTGATGCTATTTTATTTGTGAGAGAAAACCATTACAGAAGTTGCTTAAAATCAGCCACATGATAACTATGCTGAAAACACAATAGCTAACTTAACATTGAATGTTCACCACGAGTCAGATATTATGCTAAGCACTAGACATGATTTACCACATATAATCTTCCAGTCAATCCTGTGAAGTACTAATGTCAAAGTTCTCTTATAGGTGAGGAAACTAAGGATTAACGTTTTTAATAAGTTGCCCAAAGTCATACTGTCAGTAGCTGGCACAGTCCAGAGTCACTCTCAAGTTAGGTTTCAAAACCCACTTTGACTTGATGCTACCTTCTAATTGTTTCAAAAGAGAATTAAAAGGCATAGTTATATTACACATGAAGTTAAATGGTTTTGTTGGCACACTTACACCAACTGCCTCTATAACTGTGCTTGTCAAAACTGCATATTGAAATAGTGTTCCAAATAATTACATGTAGAGAATAGGAAATGGCAACAATCCAGACCAGCAGACTACATTTCTATTCTGTGGTCATGCTAGGATAGAAGGGTATTGTAACATTTAAAGAAAGCAGAGTTTTTCAACACATTCCCTGAGCCTATAAAACAATTGCTTTAATATTTTGAGTAAAATAAGAACATATAAAATTTAGAGTAAGTGAAATTGGTTGAAGGTTAACATTTGAAAAGTACCCAAATATTTTTAGGGTTTCATTTAAACAAGTCACTGTGTTTACCAGGTATATGTTTTGGTTTTCATTACAAGTTGATTTTATTTACACTAATGTACTTAAATGTGTTAGTGAATCTTTAGAAAGAAACAATATACATCACTAGAAAAACCTGAGCCATTTTTACTACTGGACATTGATAGAAAGCATATGTGAGACAGCCTTCTGTCTGCACTGAAGCTGCCCTGAGCCTGGGGTAAGAGATGGAATAGCAATGGACTAAAGCAATAGCAACAGGCTATATTTATACAACACAAAGTGAAATGATTTGGCAACGTTCCAGTTCATTACAACAACATGGACAGCTATATTGGATATCAGAGTTTCCAAAGCAGAAGTATTTGGTTGAGTTCTATAGTGTTTATATAGTCATAAATAGTTGAATTATCTATGTTGACGATACTATTAGGATAATTTTGTAAAACACTCAAAATGAGCTTTATGTCGCTGTACTCAAATGATTTCATGTGTCTCATAAGTATTTCTTTGATTTTGAAATTAAAACAATTCATTTACAGTAGGATTTTATGCTATCATTTCAAAATTTTGCCCATAATATGGCATTGTTTGGGTCTAAGAGAAGGAAATGCAGTATATCCTTCTATCACATAGTAACAGAGTAAGAAGCCATTTTGTGTGTGTGTGTGTGTGTGTGTGTGTGTGTGTGTGTGTGTGTGACAGTACTAAAAAATAATCACATCTTTAGAAGACAGTAGATACCAGCAGCTCATTTTCAAGTCCTTACTTTCAAGCCTGACTGAGGTGGGAGCAGTCATCAGAACAGAGGGAATTCTGAGAGAACAGAAATACAGACCATCAAAAAGTAGAGAAGGAAATTTAAGTGTACACAAGGAAAATTAAAATTATTTTTCAACTAACCACAGTTACCATTTTATTTTACTCATTTCCAGTCTTTTCACATAGGAATCTTACAAATATCAAGTTATAATATAAATCCTGTTCATTTTATATTATTCAAGTCATATCTTTCAGCTTTACTTCTATCATGAATTGCTCTTTTGAAAGCTTTCTTTAATGTTTATTTTCCTTCATTCCAATTTTCTCTTCACAAATATTTCTGCTTTGCTGTGTCAGCAATCCTTCCCATCTTTTGGTCATAACTTGAAAACTATGACATTTTGTTGTTTATGTATAAGTCTTAACCAATGGATCTGGATATAACTGTGTTCAGCAGAAAAGGGCAAAATAGCTCAGTTAAGGGAAGCATTTTATTTTTCCCATGATGGTAGCTGAGCTACTTAAATTCTGTTACTAAAAACATGCATATTTGCATGGATAAATAGTTTTTCCCTAAACAATAGTTGGCACTGTATAGACACAGGGTAAATTCAAGGAAGGCTGTTTAAAATAAGACCATGTGGACAAATTTTCTATGTTCATAACGTTCATCACAGAAGAGTGTTAATTATGAAAAATAAACCACACATAATATAAATGACTTGAAAAGAATATTCTTTACTAGAATTCTTCTCACTCTCAGTGAACACAAAGTACTCATGTCACTGTGTGGCATTTTATCAGAAATAGAGCTAACTGTGCCTCAGTGTTAACTTTGCTTAAATAATAAGCAGAATTATGCCAATCCTTTGCTCAAAAACTTTCAGAGTATTTTCTATACAATATCATCTATACTCTGTAGCTTGATCCTTGGCTGCCTCTCACTACTCTCATGCACTATAAAACCACGTCAAATTAAAGACTCTCTAATATGAAAATAGTAGCATTTCTTAACTGTTTCTATTATGATGGGCTCCAGCTGGAATTCACATACTTGTCAGTATGTGACTGTCTTACATGCAATGATTGATCCAAGAGCCATCTTATTCATGAAGCTTGTCACAACATTAGTGGGAAGGCATATATTAAAAATCCATAAATATTTATTTGGATTGGATTCACTTCCAGATCCTCTAAAATACTAGAGCTGTATATATAGAATCACAGATCTATACTTGGAAGTAATTTCAGAGACAATATTAACTTTGCATTTTTAAATATAGAAAACCTTAGCATCCCAGCTAACTATAATATCTTGGGCACATAGTCTAATTAGGATAAAGTGATGTAATGATAAAATCAGGTTAAAATCTCCTTTGTTTCCAAAGTAGAAGTCATTGGTTTGAGCTATCTAGGGAAGATTATCCAGGTTGATTATTTAATTGCATAATTTTGTGAAACCACAAAATGAGCTTTTAAGCTTCCATAATGAAATGATTCCTCATGTTTCCTACATATATATTTTGTTTTGATATTAAGTATTCAGTGTCAAATGGCTTCCTTTCTATTATTTTAAAACTTTACCTATAATAAGCCTTCAAATAAATGCTTCTTGAAGGAGTTAGTACTTGAATTGGTCTTTAAGCAGGAAAGGCAGTCATATGTGGACAATCTGGTAGAGTAGATGTGGATTCAATCTGAAGAGTGGCATTACTTGTCATGAATGACAACTTTTCCTGGAATCTATTTCTATATGAACTCCATATGGCCAGTTCTTTTATTTTGCTTTATACATGAGGATGCCAGTAAAAAGTTGTAATTTTTTTTTATCTTATGTATGGCTAGGCCAATTAGAAAAAATTCAATAAAGCTGAACAAACCTCATTGATTATTATATTTATATTCTTATTAATTCATGTACTTTGAGTATCGTGATGGCTTTCATGGTTGCTCTGCATAAACACCACCACCACACAGTGGTTATATGAACAGAATAACCATAAACAGGCTACATAAACAGGACAACTTACATGATGGAATGAAAAAAGTATTATTTGCGTGAGAATCTGATAAATCCAAAGTTTTCAAATTAATTAGCTGCATGATTTTTTGACCAATTAACTAACTTCACTGAACCTCAGTTTCTAAATCTTCAGAATTAATTAAATATGAATCATACTGAAATATTAACAGAAGAAATTTATGTAGAGGCCTTGTGCAAATTTCCTATTCCTATTTATGTCTATGTATACTGAAGCAACTCGTTGGTTTCTGTGTTTTAAAGAATTATAAGTTTTCTCTAATTAAGACTTTTATTATAAGTAAATCTTGGAGAAAAAAAACTCTTCCAAAATTTGGAGCAGCTGCTATGAATAGTGAATGTATACTATTTGAATGATTATTAATAAACAATGTGGAAACATTTTATGATGTCAACACACTTTGGTTTCTCTTGCCTTTTAGGAGTCTAAGTTGTCAAAGGATCACCTTGCACAAAAATCTGTTCTTCTCTTTCGTTTGTAACTCTATCGTAACAATAATTCATCTCACAGCAGTGGCCAACAACCAGGCCTTAGTGGCCACAAATCCTGTAAGTAAAATGTGGTTGTTTCCTCATGTTCAAGGAGTTTTTAGGGAAGAAATGGGAGAGGTGGCACATCCTGATATATGTATACATGTGTAGTCAAGTACTCATATATGTAATTTAAAGCCTGACACATAGAGAATATATGTAGCTATATTCCAACCTATAAAGGTAAATACATCTCAATATTCTTCAGGTTATAAGGATTGGATATCAAAAGGAGGAATACATTTCTGTTATTCATATCTTCACTTTATTTTATGACTAGAATTTCGTTGCTGGTGCACATGAGGGTTTATGACTACATAACATTTATTTAATTGAATTCCAAAATCAATTAAAGCAACTAACTCTGTATAGTTAGAAAAACCAGTAAAACTCTTAGAAAAAAACATAGGCAAAAATCTCATGGACATAAACATGAGTGACTTCTTCATGAACATATCTCCCAGGACAAGGGAAACAAAAGCAAAAATGAACAAGTGCGACTATATTAAGCTAAGAAGCTTCTGTACAGCAAAGGACACCATCAATAGAACAAAAAGGTACCCTACAGTATGGGAGAATATATTCATATATGACAGATCCGATAAAGGGTTGACATCCAAAATATATAAAGAGCTCATGCACCTTAACAAACAAAAAACAAATAAGCCAATTAAAAAATGGGCAGAGGAGCTGAACAGACAGTTCTCCAAAGAAGAAATTCAGATGGCCAACAGACACATGAAAAAGATGCTCCACATTGCTAGTCATCAGAGAAATGCAAATTAAAACCACAATGAGACATCACCTCATACCAGTAAGGATCACCACCATCCAAAAGACAAACAACAACAAATGTTGGCGAGGTTGTGGAGAAAGGGGAACCCTCCTACACTGCTGATGGGAATGTAAATTAGTTCAACCATTGTGGAGAGCAGTATGGAGATCCCTCAAAGAGCTCAAAATAGACATACCATTTGACCCAGGAATTCCACTTCTAGGTATTTACCCTAAGAATGCAGCAGCCTGGTTTGAAAAAGACAGATGTACCCCTATGTTTATCACAGCACTATTTACAATAGCCAATAAATGGAAGCAACCTAAGTGTCCATCAGTAGATGAATGGATAAAGAAGATGTGGTACATATACACAATGGAATATTATTCAGCCATAAGAAGAAAACAAATCCTACCATTTGCAACAACATGGATGGAACTATAGGGAAATAAGCCAGGTGGAGAAAGACAAGTACCAAATGATTTCACTCATATGTGGAGTATAAGAACAAAGAAAAACTGAGGGAACCAAACAGCAGCAGAATCACAGAACCCAAGAATGAACTAACAGTTACCAAAGGAAAGGGACTAGGGAGGATAAGGGTGGGGAAAAAGAAAGGGGGCCTTATGATCCGCATGTATAATGTGGGGGGGGCACGGGGAGTGATATGCAACACTGTGAAGACAAGTAGTGATTCTGCAGCATCTTACTCTGCTGATGGACAGTGACTGTAAATGGGGTGGTGGGGGGGGCTTGGTGAAGGGAGGAGCCTAGTGTTCTTCATGTAATTGTAGATTAATGATAAACAAAAAAAGTACACTTCACACGACAATTACCTTGAAATGAAATAAGAAATAAGTATCTCAATCTCTGAAATACTTTTGGGATTCTTATCTATGTCAAGAATAGGTGTGACTGCATATAATTTAGAAACCTCAAATGTCATAGCTTAAAACAATAATAAAAGTTTATTTTTCTCTATGTAAAAAAAAAGCACAGAGACTGTTATAATATAAAAGCTATACTTTTAAAACAAACTGAAATTTACTTATAAAAGTGTGTATATATTTTATGCAAGCTATATGCATATGTAAGCTGTATTTAAACTAAAACATCTGTATTCAGGAAATACATATTCAAGTTTTTAAAATCATTTTCTTTCATAATGTTTGGAGTACATAAACTACAGTTTTAGATATATATTTGTGGAGGGATGTGTTATGTGCATATATAAAGTGATCTTTTTTAAGATTTCAGTTATCTAGTTACTGAAATCAGGGAAGGGAAGGAACTTTCACTCAGTGGATCAATAAACAATGTTCTCATACGTGTTTTATCTGTGTTTTTAGGGTAATATCCAAAACTCTAAAATTCTCTGCATTGTTTGAATACGTGCATCCAGATATCTTAGTCTTGTACATGTTCCACTCTAAAGTCACTGGGAGGAAATACACTGGGTTATAATTAGCAATATAAAAACTGGCCAATGCTCTACTATTTTAGAGTGAATTTCTGTACAGCAAGGAAATTTATAGTTTTGTCATGATGTTGCAGAGCAAGAGATTCTAAATCTTACACTTAGATGCAAGGACATTGTATTTAACATACAAATTGTAAAAATATAGTAATTTTTAATATACTCTTGGAAAATAAGTTACTTTTATCATAATAGATTAATATTTAAATGAAAAATTTAATTTCATCATAAATTTATAATTTCATTATGGATTATTTTTTTAATGAATCAAGAGTTAGAAGCTGAATTAGATATGTATATATAAAAAGCATACAGATAAAAATTTGAGGAAGTATATCATTCTACAGTATAGTTAAATAACTCATTTTTACCTTTGAGAAGACATTGTTAATATAATGTGTTTGACATCAAGGTACATTATTTAAAATTTAATGTCATGAATTCTGCATACATATTTAATGAAAAAATAGATTTTATAAATGTCCTTCAGTAAGAAGGTATTGTGAATAGTCATGAAAACAAAATTATAATTACAGGACGTGTTCAAGGTGTAGTTATGATGTTCAAATATTAACAAATTATTTAACTTCTGTAGTATTCAGCTTTTTATCTATGAAATATGTCACTAGTGATGAATCATGCCTCACAGAATTATTTTATGGATTAAGTGAAACTATATATTAAAATATTTTATACTATCTCATATGCAAGTGTTATTACTATTCTATAACAATACAATATTTATTTCCAGTACATTTATTTCCAATTATCTTTTTAGTGAAAAAAATTTTTTTTCAAAAAAATGACAACTGCCACTGAATATTTATAGAGTCCCAGTATGGAAATTAGAGGTAATGGGAGTAATTAGCCATGTTTCTGGGAGAGCTTTGAATTTATTCCCCTTGTTAAGGGAATAAACCATATTTCTTCTTCTGTTTTCTTTACCCCATATTTGAATTTCCCTTTTCCTGTCTCTTTAAGAGTAAAGAAAGAGAAAATGGAGACCTCAGGAAAAGAGGAAGTAAAGCCATAACTTTTTCTCCTTTTTACCAACACAAAAAAAACCCTCAAACCCCATATTTGAATAAGGTAAAGCATTGGCTCATTAGATTATTACTTAATAAGTATTTGCACTAGTAGCATGTTAATATGTAAGACTTTTAAAGTGTTTGACATTTTCATGAAAAAGTGTATTTGGAAAATACACATCCACTAAATTGTAGTAAATTTGGAATTTACACATTTCCTAGGAGGTGTACTATTATCAGTCTTTGGAATCAATAGCTAAAAGCTTGAGAGGCACCATTAGATGAGGATATGAAGACTGGTGTTTTACAAATCTAAATCATTAGTGTTAAAGATTTTCTGTGGAAGAGAGAAAATTCCATGTTTCTATATGACAAAGCTAAACTATTGTTTCACAAGTCAGTTCATAAAAAATTAAATATTGATTGCTTTCTCTTTTTTTCTCACAGGTTAGTTGTAAAGTGTCTCAGTTCATTCATCTTTACCTGATAGGCTGTAACTACTTTTGGATGCTCTGTGAAGGCATTTACCTACACACACTTATTGTGGTGGCTGTGTTTGCAGAGAAGCAACACTTGATGTGGTATTATTTTCTTGGCTGGGGTAAGCACCATTACACATATCTGCTGACTCACCTTTTAAGAAAGCTTTTGGAAGATGCACAGTTTCTTTGTAATAAAAATATACATACTGATAATTTTAAACAAATCAGGTGATTAACCTTTGCTTATTGCTGTAAATGAAAATATTTAAACAAAGTACTACTAGCTTATTGTTTTCAGTAGTCGTAGGTTAATTAATAAACCAATTTTTTTTCCTATTTAATATTCCAATATATTTCTTGCTGAACATGTAGTGACTAAAACAACAGAAGTAGAATCATCAATTATGGATCCAGTCTTGGCACTCTTCTGAATCTTTTTCCTCATGTGCAAAAATGAGAGTATATTAAGGCTAAACCAGCCTTAAAATTACATTCTAAAAATGTTTGTTTAAAAAAAAAGTTGCTTTATCATAATAGTAGAGGTATCAGTAATAGAATAAAAGTATACAAAAATTTAATTTTTTTCACAACATCTCCTGACAGGGCATTATTCACAAAGCAAACAATGATACACTTCTAGCATGTATTAAAAAAATAACTGGAATAATACAAAATACAAAATGCTGAAAATTAATTCAATAGTTTCTAAAAATATATCTGAAATTGTACTTTATCATCTGTCTATCTATTATCTGTGTATCATCTATCTATCTTCACCTGTCTATCTACCTACCTGTCCAGTCAGATAATAGATATAGACATGTAGAGGCATATGCACACACACAATCTTTAGGACATTCAGGTTACCTTTATAAAATATTCATTTCATGTTTGAAAGATGTTTTCGAATGCTAAAAACATGGAAAATTTCTGATATATAAACCAACACTCTATTCCTCGCTTCTTCACATAGTCAGCCTCAACTTCTTACCACATCTGACCATCTACCAAATATTGACCAATTCTATCTCACAGAAAATACATGAATACTGAATTTCTTCTAAGTCTTGGGCCTTAGGCAGCACATTTGTGGACTTAGGCTCTGGATCCCACTGATTCAAAATGCCTTGTACTGGAAGAAAACATACACACACGTACATAAACCTGAAAATATAAATTGCTTAATACTTTACCATATTTATTGTTTGTCTATACAGATAATATTTACTTAGTCAACATATAGTGACCAGTTATTTTTGCTCCTAGAGTATATCTGAGTTTTACATTTTGTGGCATATCTTAGGAGTTCCATCTATGGAGAAAGTTGCCTATTTATTTTCTTTTTGTTACAGGATTTCCATTAATTCCCGCTTGTATACATGCTGTTGCTAGAAGCTTATATTACAATGACAAGTAAGAAAATTTCTCTTTCTGATTTCTATTGGAACTAATTAAAACAAAAATTTTCAACATAATTTCCCTGCTTTTTCCCATAGCTGCTGGATCAGTTCTGAAACCCATCTCCTCTACATTATCCACGGCCCAATTTGTGCTGCTTTACTGGTAGGTAATTAAAATTCTCCTTTTTTCCTTATTGTACATATTTCAACTTTATTTCCTGAATCAGCTGTACTAGGGTATCCTTCAGGAGACAAGTGGTCACAGACAATGTGCTCACAGTGTTTAATTGAAGAGGGTTTAATGAAGGTGTTTATTTGAGGTGTTGGCAGGAAGAGTAAAGGAACTAATTAATAAGGGATGGCGAGGCACCAGGTGCAACTGTGGGAAGCTGTTGTCAGTGCTGGACCTGAGCAGGGGACAAGAACAGTGTTACTGGAGTTGGGCAGGTATGGGGAGGGGTGGCCTAACAGAAGCTCTGGCGCCTTGGGTAGAGGAACAGAGCCACTGCCAAAACCACAGCCTGGCAGCAGAAAAGGAGAAAGAAATACTCAACTTTTCTATTTCTCTGCTCTGATTTCCTGCTTCCTCCCATTGGCCAAATGCAGCAAATGTCAGAAGGCAAGAAAGCCAGGGCAATGGTGCGGTCCTCAGGGCACCTGAGAGCCTTCTGGGGCACAGAGCAGAACCCAGAAGAGCACAGGGTGGATCCAGTGAGTGGGAATGGGGCACCGGGAAAACAATAAGAGTAATATTCCAATAAAGAAAAGACTTCAATTTGGATTAAAAAAAAGAGTATTGCTTAAGCTATTTTTTTATTATTATAATGATCATCACTAATACAGGTGCACAAATTGAACATTTTTAAATGTAGTTGCAGGAAAACAAAAGTCACATTCAGTGTTTTATTACTTTCTTTCAATGGGAAAATAAATTAATCCAAATTAACATGCTTCCTCTTATGGAACATTAAAGACCTGAATGCAATTACAGTCTCTCAGACTGCAATTACAGCTGATATTTATTCATATTTAAAAAGAGAAAGGTGGTATGTTTCTCAGCCAAAATTCAAATCTTCCTAACCCTTGTTTTGAAACTTTTTTTAAGAGAAATATTCCTCTATTATTTTAATATATTTGCTGACTGCAACTTTGTATTTGGTTATTTTAGAACACTGTTCAAGCCATTCTCAAGTGTATCATTTTTGAGCCATTCTTAAAAGTGTGCAATAATGAAGTGGGTAAATTCTGGAGGCTGGTTGCCTATGCTTGAACTTTTCTTCCATCTCCTACTTGCTGGGTCACTTTAACCACTCTGCACCTCATAGACCTCATGTTTTAAAATAGAATGTAATAATAGAAACTTAATTTTTTAACAAGGAATTATATGAGATAATACAAAAAAAGTGGGTAGCTCATTGGTATAAAGCACATAGAAAGTGTCAAGTTTCTAATTTGTCCCTGGCCACACAAGACAGCCAGTTAAAAAAATCAACATAAGGAATTTATTTTATCTCTTATGGAATTTTAATCTATCTTAATGTGGACTTAAGTGAAAAGTTCAGAGGCAGAGCGTCTCCTTCACTTGCTCTCTGCACATACTAGCCACATGTGTGGCAGACTGTGTTTAAACTGTAACCTGAGAAGTCTTAGTTTTGTATTCTTTGAAAGAGCCAGCATTGAAACCTAGCTGGACCACTACTGCTGTGTATCTCAGGCCAAGTTCTGTTTTGTTTTGTTTTTAGCCTCGTATGCCTTTGTTTTCTCATCTGTGTTTATGGAATAATAAGAATAAATACCTCACAGGGTGTTGTAAGGATTAAATTAAAGGTATCCTGTTAAGCAACAGTGCCCAGACTATAAGACATTCTAGAAAAAATGCTTTAAAAAGTTTCTTCTCTTGTAGTTTCTACATATCATGATTCTGTTCTGAGAACAATTCAAGTAAATTAAGATGCATTTCTTGACCACTCAGGAGCTGACAGAACAAACACAAGGCAAGAACAAGAGATCTGACTCTGTAGAGGGGTATGTGATTCAAATACCTCAGTCAGAGAGTCTCAGGAAATTGGCAAAATCATGTAGTGCATGGAAAATATAACAGCAACTAACGCAATCTGTGGAAGAGCCTGTTCACATCATCTTTGGGAGAGAAGGGTAGATGGTACAGAGAGAAGGGTAAAATACCGCAAAGGAACACACCACATCAAGCTGCTCTGTAAGAAGGGAAGTGAAAATCCACCTTATTGACATAAAACTTTTTCTATTTTCTTCACCTAAAAGATTAGGAGCCTATTCTTCTACCAGAAAAAATGGTTCTGTTCTTGTTTTGTTTAAGCTTTAAGGCTCCTCTCTGACCCTGGCCATTTCCAAGGTCTTGGGAGGAGCTCTAGCAATTGTTTATATGTCACATGTTTTAGTATAATTTTTATAAAGATATTTCTACTGCAATCAGTTTCTTTCTACTCAGATTTCCTCTGTCACATTTCCCCTTGAGCAGGGTAGTAGTGGAGTGGCTACAGCATTTTTGAGATCCTATGAAGGGGAAGTTGAGGGAATACATTTAATTTGTGTTTAGTGAGAGATCGTCAGGTCTTTAGTGAAGAGTTAAGTGATTGCTGGAATGGTGGGACTAGCTTTGAGGAATCTTCCTCCTGCCACTGTGCTGAGTCACACTGCTTCCTGTCATGACCCTAGATGGTATCGTGATATGAAAACGCCCTCTTGTGCCTACCAGCCATGTGAACTTCATGGATGTTGAAGTAAAACAAGTTTCTTCTCTTCTCTTTAGCTAGGTTTCCTCTAAGACAGATGAGATTCAGATACAGTACATCTGAAATTTAATATTGTTCTGTTTTTATTGAAAATAAATGGAAGTATTTGCAGAAAATAAAGTAGGATGATTTTCTAATTTCCAGTTTCACATTTTAAATCAGACTTGCTATTTTGGGAGAAGTACTTTGTATTTAGAAATTTTTATATAATGGGTATTGTAAATCGCAACATTTCTACTGATTTTTAGAATTTATGATTTTTGCAAAAATTATAAAGATTATAAAATTTTCTGTATTCTAAATTTATAAGCAGATAAAAGGGCATTATTCTCTTACTTCGATGGGCTTCTATTAATCTCCATTTAGTCAAAGCTTTTAAAACAGCAGTGAATACTTCGGAAGGGAATATAGTAAGATGGGTAGAATAACAGCTGATGTGTTGGTTTGTCATGTTTCATTCTCACAGCTGTTGAAAAGGCTTACTCTGCTTTTGTCTTTAGCAGAGACATTGCTGTGTCTGTAACCATGCTGCTTTTCATAGATGTGTTTCCATCAGGATTATAGTGAGCTTCTTATTTTTGAAGCATATGTTCTACTGAATTCTCTAAGAATAGTAGTTAATATTTTTATGCCCAGTCATTTTCATAATACTTGCCTTAAACCAGCAAATGTATGTTATTTGTTCATTGTTTTCTATATTAAAGGAAATGCTACCATTATTTTTTTCAATTTATTTAAGTATGTGAATATAAATTATGTATCAATATGTAGTTTAAAGTCAGTAGTCAGGGTGAGAAAAAGGAAAGAGAATAGCGTAAGAGCTCTAAGGGGCTTTCCTGGAGTTAGTGTCTATAATCCTATGGAAGGCATAAGGAATGGGCACAGAGTAAATAGACAAAAGTAAGAGATACTTAACTGGATGAAGATAAGAGAGACAGTGGTATTCAGGGTAAGAAAGAGAGAAGAGATAGAAAGAACGAAAAGCAGAGAGAGAGATGTATTTCATCAGAATTCTGTCAGTTTCCTAACTTAGTTATCCACACTATATATTTGAAGTTTTATGTCTCCCTTTCAAAGAGAACGTTTTCTCTTGGAGAAAGCTGTTAACACATGGTAAATACGTAACTACAGAAAGTAATCAGAAGAAAGCCCTATCAGTGTCAAAATGTTTTATCTGTAGGATTATCTAGGTTAAATATAAACTGGCTTAATTGTATGATTCAGTCTCCTCATGAAGATAAAGATGATCACATTACGATCTTGGGGAGTTGTGTGGATTACTGTTACAAAAAGAAACACAGGAAAGATAAGCCAAAAGGTGAAAATGGCTATTCTGGTATAATATACATTTGGAAAGTACCAAGTTAGTCACCAATAAAAAGGAGACACTTAAAAAAATTAGCAGTTCTTATAAACAGTTCTTTCCTTTGAGCTGAAAATGTTCAAAAGCTTTAGTTTGGGACCATAGAAAAAATCTTAAAAACTGCATAAGAAAATGAACTGAGAAAAACCCTCAGGTATTCCTTAACTGAATGTGTTCCACAATAACTCTATCATAATTTTATTTTTCTAAACCCTAAGTACATTAAAATTGAAGTATTTGTTAAATAAATAAGTCACAATTCTAGAAATACAAATTAATATCTAAGGCAAATATTCTCTAAGTAGAACATATTCTTTTACATTGAGAATATTCTAAGATTTATAAAATCAAAGATCCTTCAATAATGCTTCTTAATATTAAATATGAAATAATTTTCATACATCATTTTTTCTTTTAGGTGAATCTTTTTTTCCTATTAAATATTGTACGTGTTCTCATCACCAAATTAAAAGTTACCCATCAAGCAGAATCCAATCTCTACATGAAAGCCGTGAGAGCTACACTTATCCTGGTGCCATTACTGGGCATCGAATTTGTGCTGATTCCATGGCGACCAGAAGGAAAGATTGCAGAGGAGATATATGACTACACCATGCATATCCTTATGCACTTTCAGGTTGGTGTCTTTGAATCAGGAAGGTAGCTTGCAAAATCTGGTATTAAATTTACATATAGTTTTGGTTTTATTTTTGACTACATGTGCAGGAAGTTGGTTACAAATAGTAAATTTTTTTCCATTTGGATCAGGTAACTCTATTTTTCTTTTACAGGGTCTTTTGGTTTCTACAATTTTCTGCTTCTTTAATGGAGAGGTATGGTGATTGACTTTACTTCTTTTATCATTTTATATTTGCAATATATTTTTTCTTTAAAAAAATTGTGACAGATTATAGATTCCCTAGGAATAACTATTTCTAATTCCATTTTTATCAGGAAAAAGAATCATAGAACCCCTTTCATGGATGTAACTTTCCTTCCCAAAAGCTTGGGTGATATTGGAGCTCAAGGCTATCTATTACATCAATGAGAAATTCAAACTCACTGAAATATTCCATCAATGACTTTTATTCATCTAATCTTTTACCTACCTTTTAAACTAATCCTATTAAGTCTGGATTTTAGCCTAGGTACAGTGCTAGGAAATTGTTAACCTCATAGAATATATGCTCTAATAGGAATTGGCATTTTGCTTTTCTCATTTTGACTTTCTTTCTTTCTTCCTTTCCTTCTTCCCCCCCGCCCCGCCCCTCTCTCTCTCTCTTTCTTTCTTTCTTTCTTGTCTTTTTCTTATCTTTCTCTTTTTCTCTTTGTTTCTCTCCCTTTCCCCATCTTTCCTCCCTCCCTCTCTCCCTCCCTTCCTTCCCTCCCTTCTTCTTTTTTTTCTCTCTCTCTCCTTTCCTCTTTCCTTCCCTCCCTCCCTTTCTTCCTTTCTTTTCTTTCTCTTTCTTTTTTTTTTTTGCCTGTCCCACAATGTGGTCTTTAAAACCTGTTTTGTAGTGAATACAAATACATTTTTAAAAATTAAACGTTCAGTTATACAGGGAGGAGATGCAGTGGGTTAGGAATAGGAAATGTAGGGATAACAGAATGCTCTAATTTGTAACATAGCAATGTGCTCTTGAATATTTCAAGATTTTTATCCAAGGCTTTCCTAATTAGAAAGTTTCATGTATTTTAGAAACTGGTGCCATATTTCTTATGCATATGAATAGTGTTATAGTTCAGAGGTTTGAGCAATATTGGTTTAGCTCTTTATATGTTTTTAATCTACTTCACAAATTTAACCTGTTAGAGAATTTGGACAAAATTGTCTGAGAAACCCAGACAATAATTGAGTGAAATTCAAACACTTGGCAACTGTAAAGCTCACCACACTGCTTCAGATGGGAAACAGTTGGCATAATTTTATGAGAACTATAAAACAAATCCACATTGGAAATCACGTAAATGTCATAAAAAACTATAAAATATTGCTTTCATTAGCTTAAGTAATATTTTAATTCCTTCTCTTAATCATAAAATAAAATTTCATGTTTGATTTTTTTATTATAATTAAAACATTTTAGTTTTTAAAATATAGGTATTTATTTTATATATTTATTTATTTATAATGGGGCACAGAACTGTCAAATATTGTGGACTATGTTTCATATCTTTAAGTGGTGCTTCCATGATTCTTCTACTATACAAAGGACAAAGTCTTTAATCCATTTAGAGTTCACTTTTGTGTATGGAGTTAGTAATCCAGTTTTATTCTCATGCATAAATCTGTCCAGTTTTCCCAGCGCCAGTTATTGAAGAGACTGTTTTTTCCACATCATGTATTCATGGCTCCTTTGTCATACATTAATTGACTACATATGCGGGTTTATTTCTGTGCCCTCTATTCTGTTCCTTCAATCCATGTGTCTCTTCTTATGCCAGTACCATACTGTTTTGATTATTATAGCTTTGTAGTAGAGCTTGAAGTCAGGGAGTGTAATACCCCTAGCTTTGTTCTTCTTTCTTAAGATTGCTTTGGCTGTTTGGGGTCTTTTGTGGACCGATATAAATTTTGGGATTATTTGCTCTAGTTTGTTGAAGAGTGCCATAAGTATTTTGATAGGGAATGCATTGAATCTGCAGATGGCTTTGGTCAGGATAGCCATTTTGACAGTATTAATTCCTCCTAACCATTAGCATGGGATAGATTTCTTTGTGTCTTCTTCAATTTCTTTCATCAGTGTTTTATAGAATAGATCTTTTACCCCCTTGGTTAAGTTTATTCCTAAGCATTTTATTTTTCTATGCAATTTTAAGAGTCACTGTTTTTTTTTTTACACCAATGAGAAGTATAGACAGAGAATGCTATTAGGAAGAACACATAAATCATTTGTTTTGATAATAAAATTTAAATAACATTTATTATGTAAAGTACTATTTACTGCCTGTGTAGGATTTTGTAACTAAATTTATAGAGAGAGATGAAAAACATGCCAAAAAATGCCTGAAATATGAACAGTACATCTCTGCATCTTCAGGAACAAATTTGTTTTTTATAAAGGGTAATTTTCAAATGCAGAAAATATAATCACTACCAAAATATTTTGTGATTGGAGGCAGTGCAAAAGACAGTCACTGACAGAGCAATGCATTTCAACCTCAAAGATGTCATTTTGTTCCTGTCTATAATACCTTGGGAAATACTCTGAACTTGCCAGAGTCTCAGTGCCTGCTTTTATTAAAGGGAAACAAAAGCAAGTTCCTTACACAAGTCTCACAAGAATTAACATTAGCTAGGAATCTAAAGTGTTTAGTGCCATGCTTCACCCTCCAAAGATACTCAGTGCATTATAGATTCCTTATTAGATTTGTCAAATCACTCAATTTCAAAAATTCACATACAAATGGGAACATTAAACATATTGGAATCATATCTCAAATTGACCCTTTTATTTAAAAAGGGTGCCCTGGGAATATCTAACACATGCCTAACACTCTTATTGTACTCCAAGTGTATAAGCAAAAGAGACATAGACTTTGATCTGCCATGTCCTGAAACTGAGAAAATTTTGGCAGTAGAAAATTACAATAATACAAAATCTCTGAGCCAAGTTGTTGCCAAATTCTTCAGTTCTTCACAGCATCTCCAATATCTGTCCCCTCATCTTTAAAAATACAATCCTTCTTTGTGGATGATTCATTTCTCATCTTAAGAAATACTATAATCCCTCCTTTTTTGTCTCTTTGCTTCTTAGTTTTTCCCAGTGTCATAATAAGAACACACAGCTGCCAAATTCATTTTGTGTGGTTCCAACTATGTCACGTACTTCTTAAAATCATTTGCTTAGGCTTCAGTTTCCTTCTTGCTTTCCACATTAGATCAAATAGCTTGCCTTTAGCTTAATCTCTTTCTCTTTTTTTACTTTCACATTTTATTTATTTTATTTCTTAGCCAAAATATTTCTATTTGTATTTCTCACTAGTTAAAGAACTGTGACTTGACAAGTGCTCAGGCACATTCATCTCATCTCTATCCCACTCAGACACAAAAGTGCATGTTAACATAAACTAGGAACTCTAGTCATGAACTAGTTTACATAAACTAAGCCCTCAGAAGTGCCCTCCATAATCTCATGGGTATGTTTAACACACCTGATTATAGATATTTTTATAATGGGAACAAAAAGGGTTGTTGAAAATAACTGAACCCATATTCTGTAATAAGAACTAGGTAGAGATTTTAGAGGAAGCTCTATTAAATATCTACTAATTGATTTAGGTTAAAAAGTAAAGAGTTGGAAAAAAAAAGTGTAGAGTTGGTTCCTTATCAGGTGTTAATGGGCATATAAAGTTGTAATGTTATATTCTAAATAGTTAGCCTTACTATTTATAACACACATGTAAAACAATGAAAAACATTTCATTTCTGTAATAACACCAGGCTGTCTTCCCTTACCATGGCAATTTTCCTTGTTATCTTTACCTTAATTTTCTCTCATTAAAAATTTATAAAAATTGGTGCCTTTAATGTTCTGTTTAACAGATGTGATATTATACTAAAGAAGCACATAAAAGTATAACATTGTTATAGAGAATGATATAAACAATCAGATGTCTACAAGGTCTGTGTGTCTTGGGTTCCTTTTTAATTTCACTAAATAAAACCCCATATTTCAGGAATTTAGCTTTCCATGTTTTTTCTGATATTTAAATGAAGAGAAGGAATAGGATGATGACTGAAATCAAAGTAGATAATACAAGAGTACACAGGTATTTTAAAACCCATTTTAACTGCTAGAATTGAATTTAAGCTTTCCTTTTTAAGACTATCAGTATTACATTCACAGCTAAGATATTTCTTCCTGTCAGCTTCTTCCCAACATTTATGTGGAATCTTTTGTACAAAGCTACATTCCACTTCCTGTCAACCAGAAACTCTATGATATATGTACTCAATCAGTTCAGCATATAGTAACAAAGTAAGGAGAAATAAATTCTGCATAGAAATCAGCATCAAAAACAATTCCCATCAGAAATATATCTGGATAACTGGCTAAAAGTTATTTTTGTATTAAGTCTCTGAATATTTATTTAAAAGTCATAATAGAAAGCCATTCTAATTGTCAGTAGCTTATGTTCTTGAAGATATTATACATATGCAGACATTATTTTTAAATTACCTGAGTATATTATTCAGAAAACTTAGAAATGTATCATTAAACATTGAGGGAAACTAAGTATAGTTTTTTGTAACATATATATATTTATTGTCCTATAAATAGTTTTTCTAAAGAAAATTTACATGAATGTAAATTATTTCCTTTAGAGTTAACATATACAAATAATCTTGAAAGTCCTGAAATTCTGAATTTCGTAACATAATTTTCAAAGCCAATTTATTGCATTTATAAATCATAATTTTTAAATTATAGAGAAAAGCTGCCTGAAATTCTAGTAACTAATTTTGAATTCTAACTAAAAAAACTCATTGACTTTATATTTGTTTCTTTTCTTGATCTGTTAGACAAGAAAATAAAGATTTAAATAAGCCAATCCTATTTTAAAGCTTGATATCAATATTAAGTATTCACATGAATATAGTGAATAAAAAGTTGAGGGATTCAATATAGTTAGTTGAAAGTTAAACAGTTATTCCATGAGTATGTTTGTAGCACATGAATTATTGGAAAATTGCTTTTAGATGCTCAGATTCCCTTTGAGGAAACAATCATAAGGTCAAAGAGCAGTAGACAGCTTGGGAAGACAATTCAAAGCTATACACACTTTGGAAAGACATAGGTTAGGTCAGAGGGATATGGCTAATCTCCTTGTAACCTACAAACAAATGGCCCCAAGCTGTCTGCTCACTCATCAGACACCTAGAAATGTCCAGGTTGTGAGTTGGTGATATATATATAAATATTCTCATTTGTGCTCACTATGTATGAAGAAAATCACCTTAGTGTCCTAGGTTCAATTAAAACCAAAGTCACTATATACGGCCTACCTAGTCCTGACCTGTAGTCCCAAACAGAGAAGAAGGAAGAGTTATTAAACTTCAGATTTATCCAGAATAGGGGGATACAAATATAAAAAAAATAGAGTGGTGACTTTTCTACACTTTCTTGTCTCTGGATAGTAAGCTCCATGAGGACAAAAACCCTGCTTTTTTTTTCCTTCAAAACATAGCACAAGACCTGGCATGTGGTAATCACTCAGTAATAGGTTGCGGCTGCTAATAATGATGATGGCTTATATTCCCTGTAACCCTAACTTCTTTTCTCTCTCTTCGCACTTCTTTTATACTCATTAATAATGTGCTTATTGTATTAAGGAAGATATTGATATAAAACTATAAATTTTGCGCATGCAAGTTTGTAAGTGGGAATCTGGATTAGCTATTAGTTTGACAATATATTCATATTTATTATTAAAGCACTGAAGATAAGATGGAAAAATATTAATGGGATCTAGAAGTGCAGAGTAATTGCAATTTCCTAACAAAACTAGTTTATTCAATTTAATTCATATCATGCTTTTGTTTTATTTAAAAGCTTTTCTCCATAATTTATTTTATTATAATATTAAACATGAGATCTTCATTTCAAATAATGTATGCTTTTTTCCTTTCTGTTTCTTTTTTGACTGATAGGTTCAAGCGATTCTGAGAAGAAACTGGAATCAATATAAAATCCAATTTGGAAACAGCTTTTCCCATTCAGATGCTCTCCGTAGTGCATCTTACACAGTGTCAACAATCAGTGATGGTACAGGTTATAGTCATGACTGTCCTAGTGAACATTTAAATGGAAAAAGCATTCATGATATTGAAAATGTTCTCTTAAAACCGGAAAAGTTATATGATTGATAATAGAGGGAGTATTGCTTAAGCATTTTTGCCACTCCTAACTCAAGGACTTGGATCCATGACTAAACAACCAGAGGACTTCAATATTACGTGTATTTCTTAAATGCCACAAAGAAAACATGAATTCAGTAGTGTGTTGAGAAAGGTTTAACAACTAGTTCTGTGGGAGAAAAAAAGCCCTAATTTGTACTATTTGCCAGTTTCTATGGAGTAAATTATCTCACCATAGCTATTTCAAGCTATCACCTTGACATCACTGAATGGAGAATTGGGAAAAGATGAGCACAGTCCATTTGTAGACTGATGTGAGCGAGCTCCAGCACACCACTGCATGAACTCACAAAAGAGTAAGACTGAAAGTTCACAAACATTGGGCATAATTCTACTCTTGTTGGCTCAAGAGACCTGTCTAAGGCCTATAGACTTGGAGAGGAAATTGCCTTTTCATTTCTTTGTTTTTAAAATCTTTTATCCCATATTCATTGGTGCAGTTGATTTTTTTTGCTCAGAAAGTATCCTAGCCCTTTTTATATTTACTCTTTCAAATGGACCAGACAGAGAGTTAATTTTCCTGTTGGCTTTTCCTTTTGTCCCCAAGAAATGCAACTGAGCAGAATTGCTATTAGCTACTCATTTACTGATACATCATAGTTATACCTTGTGTCATATCCATTTTTGAGACTTGATGAATAGGATGTATGATATGCAGTCTACTTTGATGCTGTTAGGGAGACATGTTGGTTGATACTACAGAACACCTTGTCAGCCACTTCCCTATCTTACGACACAAATGGGAGGGAATCAGTTTCCCTGTATCTGTAAATAAAAACTTTTTCCCCTTCCATTTCTACTGTGTAGACAAATTAGCAGTTATTTTACATGAAAGGAATCAATGAAGGATCTTATTTTCTGGGAAGTTTGTAAAAAAAATTGTTGCTAAGAATTAGCTTGTAAATATTCTGTTAATCTGTTGTATAGTCTCATATCAAATACATACAATTCAGGTAAATTTCTAAAAAAACAAATACATAATGAACAATGTATGCATATTAATATCTGATACTGTGTCTGGGCTGGTTTTATAATAAAATAGAGTCTGGAATTCTATGTTTGCTAAATATTTTAAAGACAACCAGATGCCAGCATCAGAAGTTTGTTTGAGAACTAAGAGAACAAAAGTATCTATGATAAGATGAAAAATATTTATTAAAAAAGTTAAGTCCATTATTTTATTGAATATTTTAGCTTTGGTGATTCATACTTTAATAATAGGTATGTTTGACATATTTCTACTTTTATTTTGACGATGAACTTGTATTCTAATCCAGAAATTTTAAAAGACTCCTACTATATACTAAGTGCCAAACTGCTACTCTTATGATCTTTACCCAACTAAAAATATTGCTTTTCTGACTTTTACTGTATGAAGATATGTAGGTTTGGAAATGTTCCAGGCTATTTTTTAAAAACTTGAGGAATACAATATATATCATATACAATATTTTAATATAGTGATTATGATCATATGATAATAGAAATCAGTGAAAGACTTGAATATATCAATGAGGAAGAACTGTGGTCAGAACGTTTATGTAATAATTACATTAAGATGGAAGAAAGCATTGCTAATGAATTTAAGTGACATTTAAATGCAACTCAGTTTCTCTAATGTTATTTTCCACTGGAATTTCTGAAAAACAGAAATGACTTCAATTAGTAAAAGTCAGTTTGGAAACAAGTCATTATGTGTATGTGTTTTTCCATTGTGTCAATCTTCTTAAAATGGATTAAACTAATGACTAAGTTATCATAGACTGTTTCTTAAGCTGTCAATAGATGGTGACTTGAGAAGGCACTTAAAATTCTCCAGGAAAATTACCTAAATTACTAAGAATTAACATATTAAATGACCTGATCAATACATTTATAATTTATCTATACATGTAAAGGTTTTATTGTTCATTTCAAATTTATGAATTTAATAGCAAGCTATCATGAAAAGGAATGCAGGCTGTTTTGGACTTTCTACTGTCTAAATTATGCTAAACTTCCTTTAAATAAACTCACTTTTTAGCTATTCATTATACAAAGACACAGGTTCAAATCCTTTACTGACACTGTTCACATGTTTCAACATTCTTCCAGACAAACTGTCAAGTCTCAACCATGATGGCAGTAGAAAATGTTAAATTATCAGTATGCACCATATTAAAATTATATTGTAATTTTCAAGTATTTTTTATTGTACTTTTATCATTTTAACTTTAGAACATATTTCCTTTGACCAGGAATCATCTGTTATACAGTCTTCAGTTGTATGCAGTCCATAATTAATCAGTGTTTGTTTCATACCCCTATATTTTAGGAGTAATATTTTCAAATATTAGACTTTTGTAAAGCTGAAGTGCTAATGAAGTTCTCCTTTGTATCTTACTCATAAAAAAAATGTAAAATCAATACTTTTTAAAGGCAAACTTCTTTGTATCTAAAAAATAATTTGGGAATTTCTACCTTTTAAAATATAGATCTGCTGTTTTTCTGCAAGTATTTGTGAAAGTCACATTTAAATTTAAAAAAATTTCTAACCTGTCATTTTTTATTTTTTAGTTATTTTCCAGTGCATTTATTCATAAAATATCTTTTCTGGAATTTAGTGTTTGCTCAAATGTAATCCAGTGTACATAGAATTACTAGTAGCTGTAGTACTGTATTTAATGCTTAATAATTTTTTTAAGTGTGAACTTATTTTAATTTTCTTGGTTTTAATCTGCTAATAGAACCACCATTTTTTAAATCAGAAAAATATACCCTAAAAATTTCCATCAATTCAAACAGCTCTTGTTATTCCTACTTGATATATATCTCTATTTTTTTATTGTATAAAAATATTAAAGTTATGAGCTAAAATTGATTTTTCACTCATTTACTGGAATGTCAAATGATCTAATTTATAATTCTTTACAGCAATCAGTGGACTATTACTTAAAATCAATGACTATATCCATATTATCCTTTTTAAAACTTAAGCCATTAAGTCATTCTATAAACCAATTTTTTTAAGGCTATGAACTTGTTTTTCAAAATAGAAAACTCCAAATAAACTACCACATATGCAAATTCCTTCCTAGGTTGAAAGAAGAGAAAGGATGCCCAGAAATACAAAAATGTATGGGGATTTCAACCTTTCATTATTTTATTCCATTGTGTAGCTTTGTATTGAACAAAGGGACAAAAAAGAAGGAAAATAACTATTTGAAGATAATTTTAAGAAGAGGGCATAATCACGATTCACATAAACATAACATTAAAATGTGTCAAAGATTTTGTTTAATTAATTCATTAATGAGGAAACCCATAAGATGTTACAGCCATACAAAGGAGATTACCAAATATCACATGTATAGAAGACTATAAGAATTGCAGAAATGAGTTTAGAAATAGATGCAAAGCAGCTCTACCCTTAGGGAAATAATCAGTTGAATTTCATTGGATGATTAATTTGTACTTCTATGGTCAAGAAAATACATTATTATTATCAGCTTTCTGCAATTAAGATATCTGTAAAATAGCTCAAAATAATCAAAGGAGGAGATAACCCAGAAGGACATACTAGAAAGCACTAGAAAAGACACTTAATAATTAACATATATCTTATGTATGAGAACAATACATAATGCATACAATACACTCATATACATGTATATACAGATGTAAAGATATGATGTACACATACATATAACCTAATACATGTAGGAAGAGTATGAGTATATACATATATTGGAGAGAATTATATATATTTCAAAGTCCTTTACATTTTTTTCTTACAATCTGCCCTTCATGTGATTATAATCTCAAATATGAATACACCTGATCAAAAATAAGCTTAGTTATGTCCTGATTACTTACATAGGTGCACTAGAGTATTAATGTATAATATAGATCACCATATTTTTTTTACAAAACTACAACCATATTGCATTTTTATACTTCACATATTATATAATTTATGCATTGAAAATAGTTTTTAGTGTATTTTACTACATTCAAAGACAGTTTCATTACATTTTCATGACCACAGTCAATTTCACTACATTTTCATGACCTCCAGATTCTTTAGCTTTCAACTACTCTATCCTCCCATCTCTACTTCCACTCCAGCCCTAAGAACCATACTAATCTGCTTTCTGTGTCAATAGGCTTCCCTATTCTGGACTTTCATATGAATGGAATCATACAGAACATCATCTTTTGTGACTGACTTCTTTCACTTATAATATTTTCAGGCTTCATCCATGGTCTAACATCAGAAATTTCATTCCTTTTTATGCCTGAATTATTCCCCTGTATGGATATACCACCTTTAATTTATCCATTGGTCTGCTGATGAGCATTTGTGTTGTTTTCCTCTTTTGGCTATAATGAATAATCCTCACTATTGCTCCTAAATGTAATTTCAGTCACTTTTCTTAATTATAACTTTTAACAAAAGTAACTAATTTATATTTCAGAGAAAATTATGGGATAGAAATTGAGAATTGCCACACCCAAGCAATTTAGCAGATAAGCAAAGCTTGTGAACACAACATAACTTTCTACAGCTACACAAAGCCTTTTACATTTTTACAAAATGGCGAAAATGAGCATGACTCAAAAATACAGTGTTTCTGTAACATCAAAAGCAAAACAATATGAACTTAAAGTCATGCTTAGTAATAAATTGTCCAATATTTCTTACATAGAAATAATCCATACATATCCCATGATTATCTATTAATTAACTCATTTTAATATCAGTCCAAGATTTTAAATTACTTAAAGATCTTGGAAAATATCTTCAAGTTGACATACTACAAAACTTAATTACTGTTGAAAAAAGTGTGTCATGAAAAATGATCTGATTTAATAGAACATAGATGTACATTTTTCATAATCTTAAACATGCAGGAGTAATATTATCTTACTGGATCAGCAAATATGAATAAGTTTATGAAAATAAACTCAGTTATAAATAAGTTTTGTTATTAATATTAATAAATGAGACAACAGATAATTGTTTACTGAATCAAAATTATTAAACTACTCTCATATGCCAGAGATTTACCTTAACAGCAAGAGCTTAGATTCTTAAAATGTTTCTGAATTAGTTTCTGTAAGAGTGTATGTATATCTGTCTAGATCTATGTCTAAATCTATGTATATATCTAAAAAGGAGCACATTTAAAGTACTAGAAATTTAATTTCTCTATTGTCTGACAGTTTTCCTTATTTTATGGGATAGTCAGTTTATGCATTTATCGTTGTAAGCCAATGAGAACAGAGACTTTTAACTTAAGAGACTTTACAAATTATTTATACCTCCAAAGACATTACACAAAAAATGCCATTCTAACTTACAGACACAGAAACATATAGACATAAATTATGTACATTCTAAAATTTTAGTCACAGCTCAAAAGACATAAGAAACATAGAAATATAAAAGCACATTGGTCCAAATATCAAAGAGCTGTTCTCCTTCCAGATGAGCATAAAAATATTAATTAATTTGATCTTAAAATAGACTGGCAAACCATATTCTCTTCATCACTCACCTAACAGAGACAAAGTCTATAATCCAGTATAATCCACTTAAGAGTGATCACCAAATTATCAGAAAACAATACCAGATACCCAATCACTGTTGCCCCAAATGTTGACAAAGTTATCACTTGCAAACCAACTGAAACCCAAAACAATCCCAGAATTACTCAAAGGGAAAAAGTAATTAAAAAGAGAAACAGAGTGAGTAAATTCTGATTGCCTCTCAGAATTCATTTTTAAAAGCCAAGATAAGTACATGTCTAGGCTTAAGTCATTCACAAAGTACACATCTCTGGCAAAGCAGTTCACAGGTGAATCTACTGGACATCTTACTGAAAAATCTTCAAATTCCAAATTTGGAATTCCAAAATCTCTTAAATTCCAAATAAATTCCAAATTCCTTTTTATTCCAAAAAAAGAGCAGGAGTCCAGAAACATGAAAATATACAACTCTTCATTCACCATTCTAGATTCCACTGTACATTTTTTTTATAAAATGGCAGAAAGAAACCAAGGAAAAGAAATTATCTTTTAAAAATTATACAAATCTGAAGTAAAAATGTTCTTTCAAAAACTTTAACTCATTAGTTAATGAGGAAACCAGCAAGATATTACAACTATTCATAGGATAATTCAAAATGCTGTACAAATACAGGCAGATAAATACTTTAATAAATTCACAAATAGGGCTTTATCCAAAGGCAATAATCAATTGCATTCCACTGGACATAAGGGATTTGCATTTCTATGGAAGGAATTATTTGCATTATCTGTTTCTACAGCTTACCTGGTTGTAAACTATCTCAAAAACAAAGCAAAACAAAATAAGAAAGTAGAGGTAACCTGGCAGGTTGCTCTAGAAATGATACTCTCAACCTTTTCAAATTGTTAACCGTTTTAAAGTCTTTCACAATTTTTACTCACAGAACTTTAAGTGGAGAAAAAGGGGAACCAGGTATGGATATGAAGGCCAGATATAGATAGTAAGGGCAAAGATTTGTTAAACAACTATTTTTAAAATCCTCTACAAAATGGATATTATCTTTATCTCCAGACATCTGCATTATAACAGCATTGACAGCATTATTATAACATGCAGCACAACTTTCTCATCTGCAGTTTTATTTCTCTTATTCTTCTTACTTTACATTGACTTTC